GCAGGAATGGGAAAGTTGCTATAAGGAGACGGGATTTTTTTTCTTTTATCATTCTCTCCATTACAAATAATTTACACAGTTTCCACTTCAGAACAACAAATCAGGACTTCCCTTAAAGTACCTCAGCAAAGCTCAAACAGTCACAAGTCGGGACTCTGGGCCACTTGCCAGTATTTCTTCAAAGAGAGCTCTAAATAAGGCAGTTTAATAATTGGAAACTGGAAATTTCCCTCCTTTCCCACACACAAGCACTCCTTCCTCCCCTTCTTTTGCCTGTTAGACACTTCACTCACTCTAACAGATGGAGGCCAAAATTATGCAGTACTTAGTACCAAGCAACAGCCACTCTAGCCTTAAGTATTTCCTTTTATACTGTTTTTCTTAAAAAGAGGGAAATGTGTCCACGCTTTTTTTTCACCTTCAGAAAAATCTAAAATTCTTGAGACACTGGTGAAACAGCAAAAAGTTACTCCTATTTACTAAATATAAGCCAGAGAAGGTTTTTGTATTTGTGTTCAGGAAATTTCTATTTAGGATGTGGAAAAGGGGTGTTACTGATGAGATGATACTTTATGAGATTAAGACAAACTCACCAACACACTTTCCTATCCTCACTGCAAAATGGACTAAATACTGCACTGTATCAGACATATGGTTGTAGTAGCTCCACTGTCTGTCTCTCCCCAAAACACCAAGAAATCTGCCTAAAAATGCTTCATGGCTCTTGACATCAGGGTTGAACAACTCAAAAATTTATGGAATGAGATTATTTATGAAACAGAGAATGATTAAAGGAAATGAAGTTTATTTGGAATTCTGAATTTTAAAAATCTGTTAAAATGTTTTCCTTATGACAAAAGTACTATATTTTCATTGTTGAAGATGTAAAATATACAGATAAACCAAAAAAAGGAAAAACATCAAGACATAATTTACCCATGCAGAGATCACAATGCAAATATATTTGGTATGTATTCTTTCAGGTATCTTTCTTACAAATTCATATGTATATATTTTTTTGTTTTTTTTTTTTGTTTTTTTTTCACATATGTATATTTAATAAACATGACTCATACTAGACGTATCTGAACACATGTACACGTCAAAGTACCATGATTTAAGAGCACAGGTTCCCGTTAGACTGCTTGGGTTGGGGTCTCTGCTCTGTCACTTACTAATGGGATGATATTGGGCTGCATGAGATCACCAAAGGAGTGAGTATAGCTAAAGAGAAGAGTATTATCAAATTGTATATGTTAAATATGTACAGTTTTTTATGTGTGAGTGGGAGGGAGAGAGAGAAGGAGGGACAGAAAAACCTAGGACCAAAGCCCATTAGTGATGAGAGAGGTTTGGAAGAAGTGGAAGCAGCCAAGGAGACTGGAGAAGGAACAACCAATCAAGTAGGAGGAAAGCTGAAAGTGTGGTGTGCTGGAAAACAAGAGGAAAAAAATGTTTTATCAAGAGGAAGATAATAATCAACTTTTGCTGAAAAGATGAGCACTGAGAAGAGACAATTAGATTTGGTGACATGGGGGTCATTGGTCAACTTGACAGCATAGTTTGGACGGGATGATGGCAGTAAAAGCTTGATTGGAGACAGTGTGAGAGGAGAGGGGGAGAGGGATTCGGAAGAGTATAGTCAACTTTTGGGGGGGAGTATGGTTGCAAAGGAGAGCAGAGAAATGGATCAGTAAGCGATGCGGAAAGCACAGACAAATAAAGGCTTGTTTTAGTATGGTATGATGTTCAGAGTTGGCTCTTAATAAATGTTTGCTACTGATAACAGTAATGTGACCTACATTCATATTGTATATTATTTTCAATATTGATTATTTTTATTGAAGTGTAGTTAATTTACAAGGTGTTGGTTTCAAGTGTGCAGCAAAGTGTTTCAGATATATATATATATATGTGTATATGATCAGTAAGCGATGCGGAAAGCACAGACAAATAAAGGCTTGTTTTAGTATGGTATGATGTTCAGAGTTGGCTCTTAATAAATGTTTGCTACTGATAACAGTAATGTGACCTACATTCATATTGTATATTATTTTCAATATTGATTATTTTTATTGAAGTGTAGTTAATTTACAAGGTGTTGGTTTCAAGTGTGCAGCAAAGTGTTTCAGATATATATATATATATATATATATATATATATATATCTCAGGGAAAGATAAAAAACTTAGCCCATGTCTTCACAGATGGTAAGTTGTACAGCTGTCTAACTCCAGAGCCTGCTCTGAAGCAGGGTTGCTACTGGCCCATATGGTGCCCTTTTGAAATTAGAAAAGAGCACTCCATTTCACAAATAAAATTTAAAATTAGTTTATTGTCACACAACTCAAATTGCTATTTCTCAGGGGAGCTATCCAGAACCCCACCTGGTAGCAGCTCTGTCTGTGCACACACAGTGCCTATATTTTTGCCTGTTTCCACACCAGGACATATACTCCAGACAATTTTAAATACTTTGTTTTGCTCCTCCCACTTCCATGGTAGGGAACTATATCAAGTCCAAGGTTTGGGAATGGGAAGCAAATTTTTGAAAGTAACAGGTAAGTGAGCAAAGCAATCACAGGTATCACCAGGGACATCATGACAGGTGCGCCTCCCCCTATGTCCGTAGCAGCACTATTCACAATAGCCAAGACACGGAAACAACCTAAATGTTCATTGACAGATGAATGAAGAAAGAAGATATGGTACATATATACAATAGAATACTACTCAGCCATAAAAAAGAAGAAATAATGACATTTGCAGCAACATGGATGCAACTAGAGAGGATCATACTAAGTAATTCAGAAAGAGAAAGACAAATACTATATGATATCACTTATATGTGGAATCTAAAATCTGACACAAAGAACTTATCTACAAAACAGGAACAGACTTACAGACATAGAGAACAGACTTGTGGTTGCCAAGTGGGGGAGGGGTGGATTGGGAGTTCCGGATTAGCAGATGCAAACTATTATAAAGAGAATGGATAAACAAGGTCTTACTGTATAGCACAGAAAACTATATTCAATTTCCTGTGACAAACTATAATGGAAAAGAATATGAAAAAGAATGTACATACATGCATAACTGCATCACTGTGCTGTGCAGCAGAAATTAACACAACATTGTAAATCAACTATACTTCAATAAAATAAGTTTAAAAAAACAAAAATGCTTCATTTCAGGAAGATTCATAGAAAGGGCTTTTTGACAAGTACAAGTTTCTGATAACTTTCAAATCATACTGCTGAACTGGGTAAACCAGATGGCTCTATAAAACTATTAATTACATGAGACTGAGTAAACTGATGGATATAGTTATAATTTTTCGGTCTCACCTGAGATATTACTGGCTTTTATTCTGTGTTCTCCAGATACAAGGAAAACCCTTCCCCTCAAGCTAATTATGATTTATAGCAGTTTGGTAAATTACACCCCTAAGTAGAATCGAAACATTTATATTTTCTCTCTACCTGAACCCTCCAGAAATTGGAAACTCAGAGGTTCCCAGAAACTTTATCCAGTAAATAAGGAAGGCCACCTCCAAACAAATGCAAGAGTTTCAAGGTATTTTGGGGGGAACCTCAAAAAGGGAGGAATTCATCGAAATCTGTTAGGCAAAATCTGTGATAATCCCTTGGCATGGCTTTCCTGGCCCTGAGAGGCCTTTTAAAAGTTTAGTCTGAGACTCCTAAGAGTCCAAGCTGGGTTGGTAACACACGGTTTTTACCTGAGTGGCAGAAAACTCAAGGAGGAAAACTAGTTAGAAGGATATCGCAGTGATCCAGGTGAGGCATAATGAGCCACTGGCAGTAAAGTTCCGGAATATTTCAGACTATAAACTACAGGATTCCGCATTACCTATGTATGAAGAATGAGATAAAGCGCGCTGTTTTGATCTAGCTGGTGCTGTTAACAACAACAATTAAAGACAGATGGGAAATTCAGTTTCACATTTTGAGCTTAGCACCTAAAATTATCATGGCTGAAAATGCGTACACAAAGCATCAACTATGATCTTGTTGAAAACAAAGTTCTAGAAATTTTGTTCATTCTCTTAAAACCTACGAATTCGTAGCTTAAACAATTAAACTTTAAAAACTTTTTTTTCAGACATCGTTATACACTCTTGGGGCACCTTACATTACAGGCTTCAGGGAAACGACACTCAGTACAGTCAACAGGTTCCATTCCGCCCCGAGGACAAGGCGCTCCCGTGACGTCACCGCGACGTGGGGCGCGAGCCTGCGTTTTGGCGGAAGTCCTGCATAGTTACCAACGAGACGCAGAGGGAGGGGCAACTGCCGCGGCCGACCG